TATGGCAGCCAAGCCCTTAGCTCTGTGCCCTGCACGGGGAACCGGGGAGCGGGGAAGGGAGGAGCTGGGGAGGGGTGAGGGGAGAGCAATTCTTAGGCGTGTTATTTATTCTATAAAAACCATCGCTTTTATTCCGGTTACAACTCACTCTCTCGGGTTAAATTGCTATGCTATGGTCAAATCGCATTCTGTGTTTACAGCGACTCACACAGCAAATCTCCAAAATACAAAAGGGCCCTAAGGTTGGGATAATCCTCTTGCCTCACATCCAAAGCCCAAAGAACTTTGACTAAAGGACCATTGGTGGGTGAGCATGCCACTGCTGAGGGAAGGGGGACTGCGAAGCCATTTTGGCTTTGTCCCATTGCATGCATCTTGTCCGGGATGCTTTTAAAAATAACAAAGAAAACATACCTGTTTGGTAATGTGTTGTTTTTCTGTGTAGCTTTGGAGCCTATCCTGGCACTCGATCTGGAGACCAGGCTGGCCTTGAACTCACAGAGATCCTCCTGCCTCTGCCTCCCTAGTGCTGGGATTAAAGGTGTGTGCTACCAACGCCCGGCTTGGGAATGTGTTGTTCAGTGATATTTCCACCCTCTCTAAAAATGTTGATGGTGTTGGAATTTTCTGCCACCCAGTTATGGTGTAACTGTCACATCTCAGCAAGATGCATTGCCCCCCCCCCCCCAATCATCTGAGGTCATTTTGGGTAAATCATTTTTGTTGTTGTTGTCTTGCTTTTCAAAACAGGATTTCTCTGTATAATCGCCCTGGCTATCCTGGAACTCGGTCTGTGGACCAAGCTGGCCTCTGCTTCCCAAGTGCTGGGATGAAAGGTGTGTGTGCCACTACTGCCTAGCCGGTGTAAGCCATTTTTAAAGAGTTCTACCTGCTATTTAAAAACATGACAATGTGGTAATGCTTGTGACTTAGTTATTTTCCTTTCTTAAAAAAGTATTCTTTGGCCTGCATGTACTTCTGTGTACCAATGTTTCTGTAGCTCAAAGGGCCTGGACGTCCTGGAATTGGAGCTACAGACTGTTAGGAGTTAGCATGTGGGTGCTCGGTCTCAAACCTGAGTCCTCTGGAAGAGCAGCCGTCACTCTTAACTACTGAGCTTACTCTCCAGTCCTATTCTTTTCCTTGTTATTTTTAATTAGTGCGAAAATATGGGGTTCCATTATGTTATTTCCATACCTGTACATCATGTACTGTTCCTGTTTCTCTGAGATGGGAGTCTCATTATATTCTCCAGGTTGGGCATGAGCTCCTGAATGCAAGCTCTCCTCCTGCCTCAGCTTCTTCAGCAGCTCAGTCCACAGGCCGCACTGTTGTACTTACTTGCTGGCTGGCAACCCTCACTGTACTTCTGCTGTTGCTTTTAGAGACACTTGCTGTGTGGTCAGGTGGGCCTCTGGGTCACATCCAGAATTCTAGGAATGGAGGTGTGCACCTCCACACCTGGGTTATTGTGTACATATTTTAAAGACTGGGGTTTTTTTTTTTTGCAAGCACAAATAATTTTAACAATTTATAGTAAATAAGAGTGAAGTTTAAATCCATTAGGGAAAAATGAAAATTATAAGCATTTCTACAGAAGAAAGTCCAACCCTAAGTGTTAAAATTGTATAAAAAATATCAGCAGTTAAGGCACTCAGAAATAGTAATACCACCAGGGAAACAGAAAACAAAAGGGAGAAAATGAAACATGAACAGAACCCTCAAGAGCATTTTAAGAAACAGGAACTCGGGCCACGCGTT